CCCGCCCCCCGCCCCAGCGGGTACTGTTTCAGTCGAGGACCAGGTGTCCAGGCCAAGATGCAGCTGCGTCCCTGGCTCCTCCTCGCCGCACAGCTGGCCGGTAAGTCCGGAAGACTAGCGATGTGCGGGGCTGGGGCGGGTAGTCTGCGCTGCACCCGGGAAGAGCCTGAGCGGTGGGGTTTATGATGGACTGTCCCGGTGGAATGCAGATCCCAGAGCCCGGGGCTGCGGGACACCTGGAAGCAGCCGGCAGCCACGATCCCTGAGGGTAGAAAGGAAAGTCCTCCCGAGAGCTCATGACTCGGAGGTTTGGGGGGCTCCAGGACTGAGGGCACCTCTGCCCAAAGTCTGGAGCTAGGAGATGGAGACTCAGGATGAGAGGAGAGAGGGGAAAAGGGAAGGAAGGATGGAAGAAGATAGGAAGAAGAAAAGAGAAAGAGGGTGGAGGTCCAGAGAGGAAGGAAAAATGCTCTTGCCCAGGGTCCAAGAAGGGGCCAGAGGCCCTCTTCTGTCTTTGGCGTCCCACACTTGACACAGGGTTCTGTAGGTAAACTTTTATTACTTCCAGGCAAGTTTTTGTAATACAATCTGCCAAATACCAGGCTGTTGCCTTGTTGCCACTTACCCGGCAGGTACGGCCTGATATTCCCTCCAGGTCCCCTGTTTCCCCAATAGTCCCTGGGGTTGGGTATGTAGTGTGACTCCAGTAATGAGCAGTGTTGGAGTTGAAATGTTGGAAGTGGAATGGAGGAGAGAGTCTAGATTGTCTCTCTAACTAAGCTTTGTCAGATCACCTTTTAGAAGAAGCCCCTTCGCCCCCAAACTGCGCACCAACCTGTGCTTGATTTGCTCTCTTGTACAAAAACCCAAAGCTGGTCATCCTGCCAGCGGTGATAAGTCCTGCCAGCCCAGGCTCTCACCCAGCGAGCTTAATAACATCTGAAGTAGAAGCTACTCCAGGCCATTCAAATCTCCTAAAGTTATTGCCAATCATTTTAGAAACAGCAGGTCCCTCTGAGAATGGAGTCACTGGGTTACTGAGAGAATCAAATGAATCAAATGAGACCACACATGTGACAAGGCCTGGCTCCATGTCCAGCACATAGATGGGACTCGATCATGGCTCGGTGTTCAGTCCCCAGGGACTGAAAAGCAAGTGGTCACGAGAGCGAGACCAGGGCAGATGTCAGCCAGGAAGTCTTCATGTCAGGACGCAGGAGGGAGAACATACACTAACAACCTGGT